AGAAGAAAATTCTAACATTTGAACCGACTAAACAATAACATAGTAAACTTGCATAATTAAACAGCAACTAAAAATGATAGGTTTTACTAAATCTTTTCCTGTGCAATTATTACTAGCATTGGAGACAAGGATAATAGTTTGATTGAAAGAGAAAAGAACAGGCTTTGAAGTAAGCCTAAAAGCGTTTAACTAGAAATAGTATTTCAAAAGTTATTAAGCACAAAAGATGAATTGCGTTTATTTTGATACACCCTGTATAGAGAGAACATGTTAGATCCTGGTATAGAACTATCCATGCATGCATGCATGCAGTTATAAATAAGTTAAGTTTAGTTTGGGTCTCCCCTTGTCGTGTAACAATATTGGATAATAAAAAATTGCCCCTTACTAGCTGCATGGACCTCTTGGAGGCGAAGAGAAAACTGATATATAGAGTTATCCATAGTATATAAAGACAATAGCAAAATTGATATAGTCCTGCAGCGACAGTTTGGAGTTGATGAATAGATTTAGATCCTGTGTAAATAAGCTATTGAAAACACACATCAAAATTCAAGCCGGGTCGACTCTATTTCAAAATCATTGTCAAACATGTCGGTTGACAATTCCGACTCTAAGACAGTGTAAGTTGAACTCGTGCATGCATGTGTATCTTCTTTTCCGATAGCTCATGTCTTGAATTTACAAAACTGAGTTAATGTTCGAAGTATGTTCTATCTATGTTTCCGTATAAATATTTTAGTTCAGTTCATAGTTTAGTTTTCTTCTGTAGTATAACACTGGAACAATATAAGAAAACAATAAGGACTAATCCTTTGTAACCTGTAATGCGAATTATATATCCTGCAGAAATAAAGTTTGTTTTACTTCGTTTACTACATTCGTATTATAGAACGTTAACACGAAACGCACGTTAACAGAAAAACGACGCAGATGTTCTCAAATAACAATGTACCGCTTGGTGCGAGGGAGGGCCTCTAAAATTACACGCAGAGATTCTATTTTAGATCTCCAAAACAACGTATAGACTATTTATATAGATTAAATCTTTCTATAGCTCCGATGTACCAATATAGTGCAATATCCGTTCGAAAAGTATTGCCTTTATGGCGCGGCTTGTTTTATTCTGCGGTAGATATGGATCGCGCAACAATCTATACTATGATTTGTAAGCGGGCAGATGTAGAAAGAGCAATCTGTGTTTGTTTTTTAATCTTAAAGTGGCGAATTACCGTGAGACAAAAGACGCGCAATTAAGATATGTAATTGTTTAGGTCTATGAGTTTTGGAACTGAATCATCAAAAATTAGAACAAAAGTATAGTCTTGGCGCTGAATGCGTTCAATATAAGCTGCCGTATGCATGCATGGTCTGCGTGTGAACTACCTAATTTTAAAGGCATTATTATAAAAACATGCTACTAGTATACTATACTTTTTTCTGACGCAAACCAGGGCAGCTTATTGCCTCGATTCTAGAAACCATACCTTCACTGGACAAAAATGAAGTCGCTTCTTAATAAATCACATACGAGTAACACACGTACGACTCTATGGCAATTTGAAATTTCGTCTATACATTCTGCGCTGAGGTAGTACGTATCAGAATTCCGAGCGTCAGCCACGCGATAGAACTCAATGGTCGGTTTGTAGTTGGAAATTTCAAATGCATAAATTTTATACATTTTAGATCTAAACGGGAGCAGCTGGGAAAAATGCAACTACAGACCGTCTTGCTGGAACTTTCCCGATCTAAAAAAACCCTTGAACGTTTAGTCATATCGAGGGGGACGCCCAATATCCTGATATTTACCAGTATATACGACTTATGCTGGCATCACTTTATGGGCGGACCATTAGAAAAGTGATGGGGGAAGCAAAAATAAAAATCGAGCAAGGGAAACAGAAAGAAAAATTAAAAAATTCGTGCACCAAAAAAGTTTGAAAAAAAAATCGTACAGAGACTTTTCAATAGGGAAAATTATAAGTTGAAATAAAAAAAATTCGAGCAAGGGATTATATTTAAAAAAAAATATTTGAAAAAATATCCGTACAAGTTGAAAAAGTCCCCCCCCCCCCATCACTTTTCTAATGGTCCGCCCTTAGTATTCTTTGCTTGCACATGACGTCACTACGAGTCATTAGGCGCCATCTTGGTTGATTTTAAATTTTCGTTAAGCCGTTTATAACGGAGTAGTTAAGTTAATTTAACATTTTCTGGTCGTTTTGAAAACATGTTACTGTATTATGGATCAGTTTACGGTCTCTGGCTCAATACGACAAAAAATGAAGAATATGAATTTTATAGTTGCCACGTGTATTTTGAAAATCAACCAATATGGCGTCGATTCCAAACCGAAAAAAAATGTATAGACAGTGTAGTTGAACTTGCGGTTAAAGCTCGACAACGTTTAAGCATGATTTCCATATGGTCGTAAAGCCTGGTTCTCATTTATCGACGATGTTCTACAATCCAT